AAAGGGCTGGGGCCAAAAACCTCTACGTAGCCAGTTTCTTTTCCGAATCAAAAATTGTTGATGAAAACTAATTCGCAATCCATCAAGTGTCCAGGAATTAATGGTGGGACAAAAATATTTATTATTGCTGCACAGAGCTTGCTTACATTCAACTACCAAGCTAATATTTTGCATAATATTACGAACACAGAATGTAGGTTCTATGAGCAATACATTAAAACTATACATCACCTTACATTCAATAAGTCCAAAAATTATGACAGGGTAATTCATTATCTGCATTGGAAGATCTGTTATCACTACAGGATAAAAAAAAGCTGCAAACTAGTATGAGCATTATCCTGAATCTCTACTTGTGGGAGCAATTGTTATCATCCTCTGGGATTTTTCTATCAGCACAGAACGAACAATACAAGCAAATCGTCCAGACATTATTTTCAAAGACAGAAAAGAAGAAACTTGCACACTGATTGATATGAAATTACCAAGAGACAAAACCATTTCTGTGAAGGGTTTTGAAAACTCACTTAAATACAAAGGACTAGATATAGAAATACAAAAGAAATCTGTTACTGTTGAGGTTGAAGAAAGGAAGGAACTCAAAAACAAATCAATAAAGTTCCCCGTGAACCATCTCTCCAGGAAATAAAAAATAGTTCTAACAAGCACAGCCCGTATCCTTCGAAGAGCTTTGTCAATATATTTTTTATTAGTAACTGTATTTTTTTAAATTATTTCACCCCAAACAAGAAGATAAATCAGCTAGGACTCAACAGGTTAATGTGTGTTAAAGAATATGAGAAAAACTAGGGAGAAAGGACAATAAAATAATAAGAATTGAGAAAACAGAAGTTAAAGATTGACATTGCATTTAAATTTTTGGAGATCAATGTCGACTAGGAAGCAAGAAGCTTCCACGAGATAGAAGTGCGATAAAAGAAACTCTTACGATTTCAATAAGCCTGTAAGTTGATGAGGCCTTGCCGCCAATCTAGTACTGCGCCTAAATTCCTAAAGTCTAGTTACCACAGAGTTCATCAGAACAATTGCCATGAAACTATTTATAAAAAAGATACAGGAAGCTACGTTAAAGCGTTGGGAAACGGTCAAACCGTAATGCCAGAATAAGAATGCAGATTCTTCTTTGGATTTTATCATGAATCTATAAATATATAGCAGGAGCACCAGACCAGATGTAGCAGCAACATTAAAAAGGATGAATGATAGTCTTATAAATATGTAAGATAGATTCCAGAGAGAATAATTGTTTAGCATGACATAGTGAACCAATGTTCTTAGCTGCAGACTTAGCAGTTGATTCAATCTACACTTTCCCCTTTATGTCATCCCAACACGTTGTCGGAAAATTCGCAATGATTCATTCTCCTGGAGCTTAGCATCAGACATGCTGATGGAAGGTGCAAAGAGTTCTCTCAAATGAGTAATAGAGAGCAGTTCCGTTTTTGAGGTGTTAAAATTAACAAGCCACAATCTGCCCAATTTCACAATAGATTGTAGGTCATTTTTGAGATCAGCTACCAATTTGACTTTACCGAACTGATCAGACTTACTATGAAGACAGGAGTAAATATTTGTATCATCAGCATAAATTCCAAATTGAGAAGTGATGACACTAGGAAGGTCATTCATGAAAATTAGAAACAACGTAGGTCCAAAGATAGAGCCCTGGTGAACATATGCATTTATGTAAAAAGATCTAGAAGAGTGGTCATTCAAGATAACCTTCATTTCGTGATTTAATAAGAAACGCTGAATCAGTCTAAAAATTCGTCCAGAAATGCCATAATCTTTCAACTTGTGAAGAAGACCTGTATACCAAACCCTGTCAAATGCTTTCGAGATATCTAAAGCAATAGTCTGAGCTTTACCATTCTTATTTAAAGCTTGATAAACTGTGTCAGCAATAATCGTTAACACATAAGCAGTTGACCTAGAGAAGCGAAAGCCATATTGCTTATCTAAAAGAAGACTTTGCGATGCGATGTGAGATGCTTAACCTATTCAGAGTTAATTAGAACCTCTCGTGCTTTGCCAAAAAGATTAGAAGGCTAATAGACCGATAGTTAGAACGATAAGATGGCTCGCCTGAGTTTTTAAAGACGGGAACTACAGGAAAGGATTTTCAACAAGCAGGAAAATAAGAAGCAGTAAGACATTCATAGTAGAATTTAGAGAGAACAGGAGACAGTTTGGGAGAATATTTATTAAAGACTATTGCAGTGATACTATCAAATTCACCTTAGGATCCAGTTTAGAAATGATAGCAGAATCCATCGATGTGAAGAATCAGGCAGAGGTACACCAGATGAATCAAGAGTAGAATTCAAAAACAATTTATGAGCAAAACATTCTGCTTTATCAGTAGACGATGTTAACACAAATTGAATGAAGAGGGGAGGGATAAAAGACATACTTTTATTCAACACACTATTGCAAAGCTGCCAGTAGTCACGTGAACCAAACTTGTTAGAGGCTATAAGGTGCCTAATTCTATCAGCAAAACAAAGTCTTAAGCAGTTATTTCGATCAATCACAAATAGGTGTTTGTTGTGATCGGAATAATCACGCTGGTACAGCCGGAAAAAGTGA